GTTTTGTTGTCTTTGCTTTTGGAGTCAGATCCAAAAAGTCATTACCAAACAAATGTCAAGGAGCTTACTGCCTACGTTTTCTTCTAGGAGTTTTATGGCATCAGGTTTTACATTCAAGACTTTGATCCCTTTTTAGTAAATTTTTGTGTATAGTGTAAGATAGTAGTCCAGTTTCATTCTTTTGCATGCATCTGTCTGTCTACTTTTCCCAACAACATGTTTAATGTCGTTTCCCCCAGTGTATATTCTTGCCTCCTTTGTCATAGATTAATTTGCCATATATGCATAGGTTTACTTTCAACCCCATATCACTTCTTTTGGGGGAAGGATGTTACAAATGAGAAGCTGGTACTCAAGCCATGACTGTAAATACCAACCCATCTCCACAGATGAGATTTGGTCCACTCTCATTATTGCTGCTATTCCTTGGTAATTGGAAGGAAGCATTTTTAATAGCTGTCTTAATGCTGAATAAGCTACCTTTCCTATTCCAACGGGGCTTGCTGCTTATTAAAAGTACTCAAAAGTATTTATTGTGATCCTGGTATGGTATAAAGGAATCTCATTACCTTTGTGCAATAAAAATCTTTGAGAAAAATGAGTTTTCCCCTGCAGTTCTAATAAAATAGAAGAAAAATAGCTGGTTTCTGCAATAATATTTGCTTGGGGAGCTGGCAGTGAAACTGGCACTTAAGATACTGGCTACAGTAGGGACTGTGTGTCTTGTCATAAACTCCTTGTTCAGAGCTGGAAACAACTAGGGCTCTTCCCCCAGACTCTAGCTCAGAGCAAACATCAGAAACAGTAAGGTAATGATCCCAGAGGCTGGTGTGGTGCCCCAGTGCTCACTATTCCCTCCATGCTGGTGGCCCTGTGCTGCCTGACATTCACAAAGGAGGATTTCACTACATGGACATGGCACCTGTTCAGAAAGTGGAGCTTACACATCATCCTTGAAGTGGTCCACTGTGAGTCTATAGAAGAGGGACCCTATGTAGCTTTCAGGATGGAGAAGCATAGGCAGGGCAGATGTCACAGTTGTGAAATTTATTTTTGTTGCCCTGTTGTACATCAGTAAGAAGGGTGGGAGATCGAAGGACAAGTTTATTCCAACAACCAGGGCTTTTGAGCACATCAGGACTTGTGAACTTTATAGACACACTTGATTTTTCTGGCCCGGCACATTTCTAGGCGCAGAAAGAGCCCAAATTCTATTGTTCTATGCCCAAAAGCGATTACTCTCTTCAACTTCATACCCAAGCTTAATAACAAACTTTCTAAACTCCATATCTTTCATAAAATAACTAATGTTTAGTTGAAATTTTTTAATAAGCATGAAACTCAAGGTTTGGTATTATTTAATGAAAACATTGAAAAGTGATGTAGGCCGAAGATCTTTTGATAACACAGCAAGGAAGCAATCATGACTTTTTTTCATACAGGCTAAGGGATAAGGTTAGGGAGTTCTTCCCACAGAGAGAGAAGCCCAATCACAACTGTAAGACGTGGAGCTCTGTCCATGTCACGGCATAAAGCTACATTGTACATGCCCAGCACTGACACACTGATCAATTTACACAAAACAAGAAATGTCCAGTAGACTGTTTTATTCCTTGCAGACAAAGTGACTATAGCTCGCCAAATTTTTCACGTTAGCCAGTGGCACGTGCAGTGTTCCGAGCTTGGCTTCTCCATGGATTTGCTAATGATCATGATGTCACCTTGCTTTCCTTCTTTAATGCCCTTTGGCATCTTCTTCAATGATAAAGACTTTCCTGAAATTCAGCACCTGACAGATTGTTTTCCAGTTCCAAATTCAGTACACAACACATCCTGCTTTGAATCCCACTGTGCATCCAAATGTAAATCCAATTCAGTGTAAATCCAATTCACCATCTTTCTGCCACTAAAAACTGAACTAATCCAGATGCTCAGAGTATTTTGGCTAATTAAATGTTCTGATTCGCTTCAGATTGAGCAGAGAATTCCTTTTTGTTTCAATCTGTGTTGTTAAAAACATTGTTAAACTGTGTTAGTTCACTTCTTGCATAAATACCAAGATTTGTAAGAACTCTGCCCTGGAAAGAGCCCTTCTTTTCAGTATGCCAGAAAGAGAAAGTTCCCATTCAGATTTCAACAAGGGTCATTCATTCCTTTTCTGAAGTCCTATTTTTGAGTTAGAGTGCTGTGTGGTGCTAAAGTTTTGAGAACTGTCACCCAAGACTAAATCCAGATTTACATATAAACCTTAAGTTTATTAATTCAACCTCCCCACCCTCATGCTAAAATTACACTGTGGTCACCTTTTTGTTCTTGACTTTTCGGGATGTATTTTTGCAGGGAACTTGCCTGAAATAATGTCTATAAGGAAAGATCAGGTTAGAAAAATTTGGCCTTTTGAGTTTTTTGCCTTTGTATCCTGTCCATAAACCTAGGCTTAGATTTATCAAGCCATGTGTAAATGAGGGAGTGGATTTTGCTGATGCTCATATGGAGACGGATTATCCAATATTAAGTGAAGAATAAGTGACTTGGGGAAGATAATCAGTCTGGAAGGTAGAAGAGTTTATTTCCTATTCCAGCTACTTATTAGTTTTGAGTTTCAGGACAAGTTATTTAACCTTGATCTCCAAGGTTCCTGATTTATAAAAAGGAAAAGGTTTATGATTATTTTTAAAGTCTTTTCTTGCTCTCCTCTTTTACAAACCCATGAACTTCTTCAGCAACATTCAATCAAATGGAAAAATTTTTACTGCTGATTAAGACAATTTTCCAGGATTGGTTCCATCATTTCAAACCAGCATCTTAACTGACATACAGAACACATTGTGATTTTTATTCTTCTCTTATAATCTTACATCAGCCAGTGGCATCCTGTCAATAAACCTTTACGGGGAGCAATTCCACAAATCCTGGTGATCAGAGAGATAATTTTTCTATAAAGTAAAAGTGGGATCATTTCATCATTCATGTATGAAACACCCTATAACTTTGACAAAAGTATAATTGCATTTGAGAGGACCCTGTTTGGCAGATTTCACTGAGTGTTGAACTAAGAATCTGAAATCATTTATACACCCCCAATTTGCCATCAGAATGTGGAAGAATCCATAGACTACTGGAATCTCCATTTTTAAGCTATGGATAAGTGAAGATTATTAGAAATTATTCTGGAGCAAAGATATGAAGTTGTTATGTTTTAGTCAATCCCACAAGTTTAGAAGAAGCATAAATCAGAAGAAAATAAGAAATAAGATTATTGTAGGGGTGCTTGGGGGGGCTCAGTTGGTTGAGCATCCAACTTTTGATTCCAGCTCGGGTCATGATCTCAGGGTTGTGGCATCGAGCCCTGCATCTGGCTCAGTGCTGAGGTGGGAGCCTGCTTGGGCTTCTCTCTCTCTTCCCCTCTGCCCCTCTTCCCTGATCATGCTGTTGTTCTGTAAAATAAAACAAAAGAAAGAAAGAAATAACATTATTGTACACTTGGTACATATAATGATTCAGTTCCATAATCGTTTCATTGCTTGGAAGCATAATTTGTAGTTATTTTCATCTCCTATATTCTTGGATCTGAATCTAAGTTGGTGATTTTTTATTGGTTAACTATACTAATAAAGATACCAAGAGAATATGTTAGAAAAGTTAGAAAGCCTACATCTTTGCAATCATCATGGTTTTCTGGTTAGTATCTTGGGTCTTTTTGGTTTCGATCCCACAGTTTAATAATGCTTTTGGGTGCGGTTATGATCACAGTGGTATACAGTGATTTGTAGGCCAGAATTCAACATCATACTCTTCTGAAGGTTATGAACACTTTTTTCAAATAAGATTCCTAAAAATAAAATCTCACTCCTATCCTCAGTCACTCTCTCTTTCTGTCTTTCTATCTCTCTCTCACTCAATCACTCTTGCATCTACCCTTTCACATCTGAATAAAGATAACATTTACTTCATTGAAAATATTACTGGACCATGGTTTGAAGTCACTCTACCAAAGAGAAGCAAGGACAAAAAAGCATGAAATGTCTTTCAGCTGACTTTCATTTATATTCCACTTTCTTCTTTGTAGCACTACACATCCTCTCATTGTGTTTTGCAATTCCCTTAATATATTTTAGAAAGAAGAAGCTCAGACCTCCTTTTTTCCATTAATAGGTATTTCTTCATTTAGATATCTGTCTGTTTCTTTCTTCACCCTCAAACATGATCTTTTATATAAAAGTGGGTCACAGAAAATTGTTAATGTCAAGCCATTCAAGATCTATCAATCTACCTTCCGGGGCTTAAGAAGCAATAGCTGACATTACCAGGAAGCAATTTCAGGTGAACTCCACTAGCGTTTCTGGTATTCTTCCCTAAGGAAATGTCTTGATCAGAAGAAAATGGGTAATTTCAAATATTGCACTCGGTTTCAAAGGCTTGACAATCCCAAAGCCTTGTGCTCAGAAGATTAAACAGAAATAAACCTGCATTATATTACATGTTATCTGATTAACAATTTTTCAAACTGTTTTTTAAAAATTCTTCAGTCCCAGAGCAACATGAAGAGCACTGAACTTGGAGCCAGAAAGTCTAGGTGTGAGACTAGATCTGCCACCGACAAACTGTAACAGATGTGCACGCTCATCATTGGCTGCACTGTTTTCTCTGCAAAATATGGATTTAAACTAGAAGACCTTTGAGGTCCCCTATGACTCTATGACATTTCTACCACTTGCTGCAGTTCATGCCATCTGTATATATTTGCCAAATCTGAACTTGTACCAGGCCCCGTCCTAGAGCCCGAAGAAAGGATAGATGACAAGATACAGCCCTGACCACTCAAGATCCCGCTGGGCTGACTAGCAAGTGAATCAAAATGAGCACACATTCAAGCATGGCGGCACCTGCCGATATTTTCATCACTTCCATCAGGTTCTTGCTACTCATACATGCATCTCTATCCGCATGCACAGATGCCTACTCACTCTACTCACACACACCTACCTACCTTACCACAAAAAGATAGCTATTCATCCAATTTGGTGAATCGATATCCACTATATTCACATGGCCAAATGTATCGTTTTGAATGGCTGAATTCTTCAGGGCGAGCTGGTTCTCCAAAATGTGAATGGGAAGCTGAAAACCCTCCATCATGACTACAGAAAAGAAAGCATTTTCAAAATGAATTATGTTAAGCCACATGTTAACAAGGAAAGACATTTCAGTAGTGAGCCACTCTAGAAGAATGTGATCATCTTGCACTAAAGTATGGCCTCCGTTAGTTTCTCATATTGTCTGAAACATAACTATCATATTCTTTTGCTTTGGTTTAAAGTATCAGCTGCTGCACTCTCAACAATAGCCAAATTATGGAAAGAGCCTAAATGTCCATCAACTGATGAATGGATAAAGAAATTGTGGTTTATATACACTATGGAATACTACGTGGCAATGAGAAAAAATGAAATATGGCCTTTTGTAGCAACGTGGATGGAACTGGAGAGTGTGATGCTAAGTGAAATAAGCCATACAGAGAAAGACAGATACCATATGGTTTCACTCTTATGTGGATCCTGAGAAACTTAACAGGAACCCATGGGGGAGGGGAAGGAAAAAAAAAAAAAAAGAGGTTAGAGTGGGAGAGAGCCAAAGCATAAGAGACTGTTGAGAACTGAGAGCAAACTGAGGGTTGATGGGGGGTGGGAGGGAGGAGAGGGTGGGTGATGGGTATTGAGGAGGGCACCTTTTGGGATGAGCACTGGGTGTTGTATGGAAACCAATTTGACAATAAATTTCATATATAAAAAAAATAAATAAAAAAATAAAGTATCAGCTGCTGTTAGAAGTTAAAACTTCATGATATAGATATTAGATGCTGTATCTTTTCCAATCATGAACTGCTTGGAATAAATTAATTATCAGCTTCTATTTTATAGTGAGTGTAGAGTGAAGAGTGTATAGTAGAAGCTGAACTTGTCCGAACCCCTCTGCTGTAGGTGGGGGCTAGGGAGCTGACCGTGCAGAGGTTCTCGGAGAGGTTGGGCTTAGAATTGGCTGAGGCTAGGGCTGTGGACAATGCAGCTGGGAGAGACAGCCACAGGTGATATCTAGAGGCAGAGTCACAGCAAGACTCCAGAATAGAGTCCTAGTGAAACATTAATCCAGAAGGACTGGGCAGGGGAACAGAAATGATGTGACCAATAGAAGGGTCAGTAACACAGATCCCTAATATAGAGTAAACATGTGCAGAATGGAGTTGAAATATGGCGTTCAAGATATTTCTGAAGATACTGATATGTAAAACCACAGGAAATTTTTATAGAATGCTATAAAGATGGCCAAATACAGAAAGAAAGACAGCAAGGAGAGACAAAATCAGGGAGGGAGCACAACTTGGCCCCAAACTTATGAAAACATCTTGAAGGTGTGTTAGAAAAAAATGTAATGGTCTTGAGCACTTTTAAAGGAGTTGAATAATGCCAGCAAAGTCTTGCTTTTAGCTATCAGTCAGTTTAGTGCCCAAATCGTATTACCTTCCAACAGAAAGTGCAAAGGGAACATTTGCTTTGGTCTTATTTCTTAGTAATGCTAGATCTCATGTTCCACACATGTCCCTAGAGGACATAGCTGCCAAGATAGTGACATAGACTTTAGAGATTAACAGAACAACTGAATCAGTAAAATGACATTTTCTTATCACTAGTTTACCTCCAATATCTAAGCAGCAACTGGTCCAACCTTTCCCACTGCTGGACCCTGGTTCTGTTCTCCCAGATTGTCCCTGTCGACCCTGACACCACACTCATCAGATGTCATTACATCTGACCTAGTGAGTCCCTTGTGCCTACTAGAATTGGGAACATCGTAGGTTCCTTAATATATATTCATTGAATAAATTAATGAAAGGATCTATTGATCAATTCAGCTCATTTTATAGGTCGACCACCCAAATTTGAAAATATTCCTTTTCTTGGATATATAACTAATAACCACCCAAATCTCTCCAAAAGCAGGCCTTGTCCTAAAGCTGCTTTACTTCTATTAAGTAGAAGTCCAAGGCAAAAGCATTTACTTATTTTAAAAAAGCTCTTTGGGGCTAGAAACACATGTCCAATTTGGGGGCCTTTCAGTGTGAACCAGATACTTTCTTTGCTAGACAATAATTTCTTTTTCTCCCCCTACACTTCATAAGCACACTGCTTCTCAAATCACCTCCTGTTCACATCCCTTTCTATGTTAGAATGCAGATTTATAAAGGTGGAAAAGATAAGGAAACAGAGGTCTAGAACGATTATGACAAAGAGGTTTTGCCCTGGATTTTAACTGCTCAGATAGAAATACACACTTTGGATTAAGCTCTGCTTGGAAATTTCAGCTCATTAGTGCCCCTTCAAGCCAAAGAGACCCCAAAGGACATGTTGAAAAACAGGGCTGGTAGAAATGGGTTATAGAGGAGATAGAATGCAACCCCTTTATTTCTTCTGACAGGACAGGTCCTGTTGGATACAGCATCTTTTCTGACCCTCAACAGGGAATCCAAAGTTATCAAGGTCCCATGTGAGAGTGGAGTCATGTAGAGGACAGATGATGAATGGGGTCCTGGCTCTGGGGCATCCACAGGGGTCCTTTCCCAGGTCCCAAGTGCATAACGATGTGAAGGGTGGACACACTTTGCATACAGTAGAATCTTCACACTAGCCCCTTGATTTGTGAGGTAAGAGCCATCATTAAGAAAAGCCAAGAAGAAGCCCTTAAAACTGTTCCTCCCTCTGTCCCACCAAGATTGCCAGTAAAAAAGAACACTATCTCTTATGTGGATGGACTAGCAGACATTCATGCCACTCTCAAAGACTTCAAGCTTGCAGTAGTAGGGAACCTCATCATACCCTCCCCCCCCTTAATCCCAGTCTGACCACTGAAGTAGACAGATGGGTCATAGTGCTTGATAGAGACAACTGCAAACCAAATCAAGAAATGTCCTAATTGTAGTTGCTGGGCAATTTTATCCTTAGTAGAGTATGTCAACACAGCATCTTACACAGGATGTGTCTGTGGATCTATCTGATAATTTAATCCTTGTCAATAAGCCACCTGGAAAGAGGACCAGAAGCAGTTCACATTCCACTGGGAAGGACAACAATAAAAATTAAATCTTATCCCAGGGCTGTTAACACTCCTGTTCTCTTTATAGTATTCCCTAAAGAGAACTTGATTGTTTAGACATTCTACAGAGTAGCACACTGGCCCAATTAACAATTGGATCTGATAGGCAGGAAGTGGCAGTCCCTCTGGATGTCCTGATGAGACACATGCAGTCCAGAGAGGGTAGAAAAACCCAACAAAGATTCAGAGACATAGCACACTGGTGAAGTTTTGGGGGTCTAGTGGTCTAGGGCATGCCAGGATATCTCCCTTCCAAGTTAAAAAATAAGTACTACTGGGGCACCTGGGTGGCTCAGTCAGTTGAGCATCTGACTCTTGACTTCAGCTCAGGTCATGATCCCAGGGTCGTGGGAAAGAGCCCCACATCTGGGTCTATGTTGAGCATGGAGCCTGCTTAAGACTCTTTCTCTCTCTCTCTCTACCTCTGTCCCTCTCACTTGCTTGTGCTCTCTCTCTCCCTCTTTCTCAAATTAAAAAAGCAAAAATAAAAGAATAAGTACTACATCTTGCAGCTTCTATCACTAAGTGAGAAATACTGCTCTGAGTAGCCTCCTCAGAGTGCAATGTAGCATACACCAAACTTAAGAATACTGCTCAACCCATTGATCAGTAAACTCAGAAGTCTTACAGCTTTGAATGGAGCCCAGAACAAAAGAAAGCTCTACAGTGGGCCAGCAGATCCCATGGTGTTAGTGTTATTTGTAATAGACAGACGCTGAACTGGGTATCTGGCCAACTCCAATAGGAAAGTTTCAGTGCAGGCTCCTAGGATTCTGGAGTAAGACCATTTGAAAGCATCTTGTGGCAGACTGGGTCCTTCTGGAGACTGAGCTCTGACCATAGATCAAGTGACCACATAACTGGAGCTTCCCATCATGAGCTGGGTGCTATCAGACCAACCAAGTCATAAAGCCACTTGCGTAAAGCCACAATCTGTTGTACAATGGAGGCAGTACATTGTGGATTGGGCACAAGCAGGGCCATTGAGCACAAGTAAGCTGCATGAACAGGTGGCCAGGCTCTAGCATTACCCACCCTGTTGCACCCATGTGTCTCCCTCAACTCACATCTATGGCCTCCTACTGCAGTTCTCTACAACCAGTTGTCAGACATAGAAAAATCCTGGGGCTGGCTTACAGAAGGGTCAGCTTGATATGCTGGTGTGAGCTGGAACAAATATTGCTGCTGTACTATGGTTTCATTCAAGCATGAGCCTGAACCCCTGCGATGAGAGCAAGCCCTCCCAGTGGGTGGGGCTTCAGAAGGCATCTGGTTGTCCATTTTGTTGAGAGAAAAAAGGGATATGCACACATTCCCGCCTTTGGGGTAGTGTTTAGCTGGTTTGTCATAGGGTTGTAGTGAACAACCTGGAGAAGAGGCATATGGAGAAGCATGTGGGAGTGGGCTCAAGGTGAGCAATTCTTCGTGCTCCACATTATTGCTCACCAGACAGTATCCACGGCATAAGAGGGGCTAAACAACCAGGTAGACAGAATGACTCATCCAGTAAGTGTTAGCAATCCCAGTGCTTGCAAAATGGGCCAGGGCAGAGTTCAGCCATAGTCTAACAGATGGAGGCCATGCCTGGGCCCCAAACCAAAAGCTCCCTCTCATCAAAGCTTATCTAGCCACTGCCACTGCTGCATATCCAACCTGTAACAGCACTAGTCAACATTAATAGGGTACTACGATGTCCAATTATGTACAGAGTGGGATCTCATGTAATATCACCCTGGACCAAGAGACTGGCTTATTACCAAAGGACATGCAACCATGAACATGGTCTATGGTATTCCATGATCATACACCATACTGTGCTGCACCACACAGATGCCACCGGCCTGGATGATGATGAAGCAGTCATTTGAAGGTGCAGCTGAGGCACTCACATGGAGATGACATTCTGCAATGTTGATGCACTGTCCTTCAGAATGAAGTACGTATCCTAAACCAGTGGTCTTTATATGGTTCTGTGTTCTACATATGTAGAATA